GACAAATCCAGAGAGACAGAACACGGGCCGCTGAGGGATTTGGGAGTACAGGACTAAGGAGGATTACTAAAGCATATGGGGGCTTCTTTGGGAGATAATGAAAATGTTCTGGAATTGATTGTGGTAATGGCCACATAACTGAATATACTAAAAACCCCCACTAAACTGTACACCAAAGACATGAATTGTATGCTACATGAATTATATCTAATAATGCTGTTGCTCAAAGCCACACGAAAAACAACAGCCACCCCCCACCACAACCCAACAAGGCATTCTAATTTCCCACGCTTAAAGCTGGCAGGCCTCCAAGACCCTGCTCCTCGGTTGCTGCCCAGGCACCCGATGGAGCCTCTAGAGAGCACTAGAAATCTGACTTTTGTCACTGGCACCGCTTCTCTCACAGTGGCCCGTCCCCCAAAGAGTGAGCCATAGGCACCATGAAATCTGAGCATCCTGGCAGGGACCTTGCAAGGGAGGGAGGACCCCAGTTGCCAGCTGCTATAATTCCCCAGCAAATCCACCCTGCAGGTAGGTACATAATTGCCTAAGTCATCGACACAACTTTTAATGAAACATAAAGCCACAATGACACCAAAAAATTAAGTGCATATGAGGGGCACATGGCAGGTTGAATTAGTCGCCCTTTCGTCGAGTTGCTCAGTTCCCACTGCCAGCCTCTCACACTGTATTGAAAACCCGAGTCTCAGACGTTGTCTGTTGACACTGTGGGATGCAGGGAGGGGTTGCTCTGAGTGCTGAGATCCTGCTATAATAAAGGAACTGGCACTTTATCATGGAGACCAACTCTACAGATGCTCTCTTGAGATGCAGAGGTATCATAAAGGATAGTTTTTTTTCCTTCCTCCCCTTTTTTGGTGTCAAAGCAGGGTGAGAGGGATTTCTTTCTGAGAAGGGAAAAGGATCCAAAATTCCATTCAAGTAAAGTTAATTTTGTTGGCATTACCTCAACGCTGTCACTTTCTTCTCTTAATTGCTTTCCACACCCATAAAGGGAGAAAAAAAAAAAACAATGAAAAACCACTACCCGCATGAGCTGCCAGGTTCTAATGATAAATAATAACTCTCTAGTGAAACCCTAATTACATGCCAGGCCGGGCAGCGGCCGGAAGCATCCAGTTCTGACTCAAGGCCTCCTGCCCTCCTGGGCAGCACATTAACTAATGCTCTACAAGAACCTGCATGCAGCTGAGCGGTGCAACGTACTTTCATGTCCTGTGGTCACCTTCTAGAAACCCAAAGTCCAAACCACAGGAATAGCTGTAATTCGGTCTCCATGCCTGGCTTGAGGATTTTTTTTTTTTTTTTAAAGCTTAGAAATCTCACTTATGCCCTTTCTCAATGGATCTTAGCAGTAGTGATTGCATGGATTCAAGTTTGAAAACACAAGTGTAACTACAAGTTCAAGGCTACTTTTAAAAAGATATCACTTCTACTCTGTAGATGCGCTTCACCTCTGGAACTCTCCAACTCTAAGGCACGCCCTAACTGTGGTGATGAGTGGCCTTTCAAACAATGAAAATATGCATCTGACTATATCCTGGCTGGGTGATGTCATGTGACTCGAATCTCTCTACTAGGTATTTACCCAGGAAAAATGAAAATATTTGCCCACAAAAGACGTGTGCGAGAATGCTCATAGCAACAGCACTCATAATGTCTCTATATTGGAAATCTCCCAAATGTCCATCAACAGGGGAACAGACAATTGTGCATCCAACACCACTCAGCAATCAAAAAAACTACTGATATACATGCCTGGGTGAGTCTCACAGGTATCAAATGAGAAAGCAGATGGATTAAAAAAAAAAAGTACATAGCCTATGATCTCTTTTACATGAAGTTCCAGAATAGGTAGATGAACTAAATATGATGCCAAGTCAGACCAGCAGTTGTCCTATTGAGGAGATGGATAGGGCCTGCTCCCATCAGCAAGCAGAAGTGGCAGCAGGAAGCCCTGGGGAGAGTGGGCCAGAGCCTGCTTCACAAGCTGGGGACACCTAGTGAGGGAAAGTACAGACCCAAGTAGGGTCTGTTGGTTTAGAGCTTCCCACACCCACCTAGGAGCCAAATGTGCCTCAGGCACTCAAAGAGGGCTTTCAGCAACCTGGTTCAAATACCCTCTAGCTTTTGCCCACCTTGAGAGTCACTAGCCTGATACAGGTACATCCCTGAGCCTGGAGCCACAATGGGGGAGAAAGGTTTGTAGGGATCATCATTCTGTGGCCTTGACCTCCCTGCACGCATGTGTGTGTATGTACACAAAGTCAACTTCTTTGACACTTCAGGATTTTCCCACGGGGAAATTCACCTCCACCCAATCTCCTACTGCCTGTCCAAGTGGGTTCCTTCCACACACTCCTCCCGGCTACAGTGATTTGTCTCCCCTTTTATAGTCTGACTTCCCCATTTGCTCTAAAGTTAATGAGAATGGGGATTGTGGCTAGTTAGTTTTCCACTGAATATTAAAACACCCAGTCTGGCACATATGAGGGCCCCAACAAATTTGCTGAATGGGTAAATTCTGTACCTGTTACTCAACATGTAAAAATCAAGCAAACACACAAAGAATCACCCCTGTACTCTTGTTCCTACAAGTTCAGTGCAAATGCTGAGAAAATAGTCCTGTCATCCATGCCTGCTTCTAGGAAGGGTGTCTCTGGGAAGCTGGGTTGAGGCTTTTTGTAATACATACCGTCATCGACTTAGACAACAGCGGGCATGGTGGTGCATGCCTGTAATCCCAGCTACTCAAGAGGCTGAGGCAGGAGGACCTCAAGTTCCAGGCCAAGTCTGGACAACTCAAAATAAAATAAAAAGGGCTGGGGCTATAGCTTAGTGGTACAGCACTTGCCTAGCATGTGCAAGGCCCTGGATTCAGTCTGCAGCATTGAAAAAACAAAACAAAAAACAGAAAACAAAACTTGGATGATAACATTTAAAAGTAGATTTCCCACAATATCAAAGTTCTAGTATCTATAGTTAGGACGCAAAGAGGTCTTACAGATCTGACCATTAAATGCAGCTCATGAGCAACTGCATTCTCTAAAACATGGACTCTTACGGGAAGCATAAACTGTGGAGCCAACATGAGGAAATGAAAAATGATCCATTTGGGAACATAAAATGAGGAGGAAGGACCTGTATGCTGACTTGACAGGTCATCTAACACACTGTCTGAGGAGGAAGAATTACCTGTGTGCACGTGCATGCACACACACATATACTAAGCCCAGGACATCAAAGTGCACAATGAAATTTAAAGGAGGAAAAAATAAGATTGGATCTGGCACCAGCCCCACAGCAGGCTTGTCAAAGGGGAGGTCAACATTATTGTGACATGTCCACCGGAAAGGTCCCCGCCAGACTCCACTGTTGGCCATAGTGCACTTCATACTCTTGGTCACTTAGACATCTATTAAACTGCTGGCCCAAAGAACCATCTTTATGTCCTGCCCTTGGGTCAGCCATCTACTGCACAAAGCCCAGCAATAGGTATTCGGACATGACCCAGAAAAGCGAACAGAGCCCCGGGCCAGGAGTTGTAGCCTCAGCACCCATTTCCTGCCTGTCCAGCCATGACCATCAACTGTGACCCTCACTTGGACTCTGAGCCACAGTTTCTTGCCTAAGTTACTCAATCAACAAAGTGAACTTTAATAAATAAAGCAGTGCACCACAGAAAGAAACCGGATTCTTACAGGAATGGCAGATTTCCAGTTGCTCCCTCCTCGATGTCAGGGCCATGGCTCTGGTCATTTATTGAACACTTTATTAGAGTGTTCAATAAATGTGTCCTAGAGCAGAGGCCTAGGATTAAGGGTAATTTTAAACTAAATGCCTTTGGAAATCCATTCTGACTCAGCGTGGCACATCAGAATGTCCTCTGCAGAGATGCCAAATATAAAGAGAGATATGCTGAAGGTACCTGGCAAGGGCTGGCCGGGTACTGCCAGGGGTTTCCTGACAATGGCTGAAAACTCTAAGCTCCCAGTGCAGATGTGGATGTCTGTTGAGTACATGGGGTTGGTTTGTGCTTTGGTGTCTGCAGACAAGAAAGCCCAGAAGCAAGGACCTTTGGGATGTTTGATGCTGAGGTGAGGGCTCCTAAGAACAGCACAGGAGGGAGAGAACCAGAGGAGGAAGTGCTGAGCTATGCCTGCCCTGCCAGAAGGCAGGGGGAGATGGGGCATTCTGGGTTGGTGCCCAGGCCGCTGATGCTGTGTGGGGCAGGCCTGGTCAGTCCGTTTTCCCCAAACCTAATTCTCCCTTCCTCCCACAGCAGTCGGGCTCTGCTTGCCTTGGAATCAGGGCAGGTTTGCCCAAAGAAAGTATGTGGGACCCTGGAAGTTCCCCCTGGTGTCAGGAGAAATAGTAGCCCTTGGTGGTGGGAAAGGTGGTTAGCCCAAAGCAGAAACCAGAACTATAACAAAGGGAAAAACAGGAAGAGTCTGTGAAATAAAAACAGCAAGGAAAGCGTTTGCCAGCTAACACCCACAGTGTCCTACTTCCACTTTCCCAAGAGATAATTCTGTCATCCCCAACCTGGTGCCAATTGTTTGCTCTGAGTGCACGTGGAAACCTGCAGTCACTGAGGCAATCCAAACAGAGCTGGACTTGAACTTGGCACTTCCAGGGATGGGTTAGGTCCTCCCCTATGGAAGTGTAAGCTGGGCCATGCTATCTCAGAGGTGAAGGACCCCCAACTTGAGCTGGTGGCTTTCACAGACATTGGCAACCCAGCCTTCTCAAACCCCTAAAGTGGTGTTTACAGGCCAGGTGATCAGATTCCTGGATACCAGGAAGGTGCTGGTCCTTCTGTAAGAACCCCCACTATTGCTTTTCCAGGAGATGCTCCAGGCAGAGCAGTCTCTGATAAAGTTCCCAGTCCCAGTCTGTGAATGCAAGCAAGCCACCTCCAAGCCAGTCCAGGTGGCTGTGGGGATGAGCGAACCATCCATCTATCCCACGCTACTCACCATGTATGAAGGAAAGATCAGAACTCGCTTGTGCTTGCCACAAGGCCACTGGGGGTCATCCAAGAGATTTGGGTCATAGTCCATAAAGTCTCCCAGGTCACTACCTGAAGATCACATGCAAAATGATAATTAGGGGCCCTGGACTCTCTGAGGCAGAGGCAGGTAGGAGAATGCCAAGTACGGTCACTGAAGACAGTTTTCAGGGAATTTGGTTCAGTGTCATATCCCTGGCTCTGGCTTTTAGCAGACGGCTCTGCATGCCAATGAGATGTAGCCCCTTGCCAAAGGGTTCAGCAAATTCTTACCATTCTCTCTTTTTTCCTTCCATCTTAGAAAATTATATATTAATCTTCCTGACCCAGAAGTGTAGAAATCTTTACATAGGACCTAAGATGCAGAGAGCCCTTGCAGGTTATAGAATGTGGCCTTGAAAAGATTCATTTTCTAAATTTGCAGGCCAAATTACTAGACTCATGTCACGCCATCTAAGAGGCATGACTTAGCGTGAAAGCTTCTGGGCAGGCTATTGTGTGCAGAGCAACTCAAACTAGAGCATCCACCGGCGCACACAGCTGTAAAAGACCACAGGTGTCTGGGACATGAGGGCAGAGGCTGGGCTGACCTACGGAACCGCACATTCACCTGGAATTTCTCTGAAAGTAGAAATAATGCTATTTCTTAAAGAACTGGCACCCTCATGCCAATCCTTACCAAGGTTTGTGTGGACAGAGTTGGGATATGCACATCTTCCTTCAGTTGCCAACTTTGCTCGCCAGTATATCCACAAAGGAAATGATCACCCTGATTCTGTACCTCAGGGTCCAATTATTTTAGGGGAAAATAAACAGGAGAAAAGAACAAAACAAGCAAACGAAAGAACCCCAGGGTTCCACACTGTGACAATGCAGGACGTAACCAGGCGAAAGGTGAATGAGGAGCCAAGTGGTCCACACAGAAGCCGGGAAACCCAATCAGCTCTAAATGATGCAACTTTAGCATTTCTCCATGTAGGTAAGACCCTACAGGATTGGCAAGTGTGGCATCTAGAGGTAAGATCCCCTGTCACCTGGTTATGGGCCTACATGGCCTGAGATCAAGTTTTCCCTAAAGTAGAGTCTTCTGGGGGCACCTGTCCTCCAGCGTGCAGAGGGAGGCACAAACCACACTGTAAACTGAGGCACCTCCTGTCACAAACTACCCAGAGCAGATGGGCCAAAGTTACCTGTGTCGAGGCTCCCCTGGGTGCTGCTGGCCCGGCCTATGGAGAGGCTGCGGTGGCTCAGGTTGCGGAACTGGGAGAAGGAGGAGGTGGAGTCTATAGTATTCCTCCGGGCTCCGAAGGCATTTGTGGGTAACAGAAATTGGGTATAAGAAACTGTCTAAAAGGTAAACAAACAGACAAACTAGTGATTATTCCCAGGCAATGCTAGGTTTGCATTCTGACCAAGATATGTGGCTCCTCCAAGTTCAGACCTACTTTTTAAAAACCTGCAATTCTAAAATTTTAAAATCTACTTTTTAAAAACCTGCAATTCTGAAAAAAAAAATTGGCACTCACACATGCCAAATTTGTGCCCAAATTCCACCCTAACGGACATGAGGTGAAACATAGTTTTAACTGAGCTCACGTAGTGTGACTATTCTCATTTTGTGGCAGAAACGTTAACATGTCGGACACATTGTATGGCTTTTTATAACCTATCCGGCAGGATTCCAGAACACATAAGGCCACAGAATCTCCCATTATGTTCCTCAGCAGATGCTGTTTGTGATGTCCAGCTCTATTCCTCCCCTCCCTCCTTCCTCTGTGAGCGTCGGCTCCTGAGGTATAAAGGTGGAGCAAATGCAGTTCTTTTCTCCTGCCCGGGGAAGTGCACCCTACCTATACCTGGAGCTCAGGGTTCCTGTCATTCAGGTAGAGGAGTGACCCGTTAACCTGGGGGTAAGGAGGGCAAAGGTCATTCACTGCCCCAGAAGCTTCCCCTGTTGGAACTATTCTGGGATGGTTTCCCCAAAGAAACATAGGCTTTGGGAGGGTTGAACCTAGTGTATACAGGTCAAGTTCATTTTCAACTTTTACTCCTCAGATTTCAACCCAGCTTGAAACCATTTAAGGTTGAGGGATTCTTGGCCCCTTGGGACCATGAGAAGCCAAAACTTCTTTCTAATAGCTGGAATGTTGCTTGCTTACATCACCAGTTAATATGTTCAAAATGCCACTTCATCCTGGAATATGCATGCATTGTGGGGGGGGGGCGGGCAGAGTGCGTGAGGTACTTGTGTTATACACTCAGTTGTCAACAGTACTGACAGAAAAATACACATGCCCAGTGGACTCCACCACATGGTTATTGAAACAGCTTGGTGGGTTTCCATGTGCACAGTGGCAGAGCTGGGGTGGGCTGGTATCACATGCCCAGGAATCTGCCCCCAGAGCTTGCTTCCCGCCATCACAAGTGAGGTTCAGTCTTACTGCCTCTGCTCCCTGCCCCTGGTGATTGAGGGCCAGGTGGACTTACCTTCCCGTCAGCACCCAGCTCCACACCTTCAAGACCAATGATCTCTTTCAAGCTCATGGCGCCTGCTGACTGCCTCCCTCCATCCAACTTCAGATCCCTGGGGAGTACAAGCCAAAGGAAAAAAATGCTTTTGTGTGCACCCCAAAGAACTACGATGATGTTTACTACCTGAGACACCACAGTCACACTGACAAAATGACCAAGTGGGTCCTGGGGGATGGGATGGGATGACCTTGTGTCCTTCCTTGGGGGCCTCACAGCAAGGTTCTTTCTGGGGGCAACTCCATTTTATTTCATTTACATGGACAAACGAAATCCAATTGATCACAAGGTCTGCAGATGGGAGTTGGGCTCAGAAGCTGGAGGAGACCAAAGTCACCTCTTCCTCAGCATGGGGCCCTGCATTCTCAGAGAAGGTCAGTTACCGAGGAGCCAAGGGAATGCTCTCTGAGCACCTGGGACAATTGGGCCTCTGGGGCTCCTGCTGCTGGGTTCTTTTTAAAGCTAGTGAGGCCACCTCTCCTTTACCAGACAGAGAAGTAAATCTCCTAAACAGGCATCCGTTTCACTGCTGGCAATGAAAGAATGAGTGGCACAACAGTCACCCTCACTCGTTTTCTAGGTAGCCTGACAAGGTAGTATCTTCTTTATAAGAGAGTAATTCCCAGTAAAACGACAAGCATTTACACAACACCACACAATTCAAAGACTTGCACACACACACAACACACACACACACACGTAAGGAAACTTGTAGGGACAAGACAGGCATTACTATCGTCAACCCATTTTACAGAGGGGGAAAGAAAGAGGTTTAAGTAAATGGCTTGCCAAAGCCACCAGGATAATACATTGAAGGGAAAAGTCTTGTGCCCAATGCTCTTTCTAGTACCTTTGCTTTGCTTTGGCGATGCGAGATGGGCTCCCCATGACTACCCTCATGTGCAACTGCTCGCTTTGTCAAAGGATGATCCTCCTTCCTTATGAGTTTTTCAAACCTTGCTGCATATCAAAGTCACTCGGGGGCCTCTGAGAATATGGGGAGGACCTGGGCATCCACACTTCAAGTGACCCAGGTGACTCTAAATTGCAGCCTCGTTTGGGGACCGTCTCCCAGCCTCTGTCTCTATGATACAGGGTGCTGGTAAGGGAAAGCCACCTCAGACTGAAAGCCTCCTCACTGTGTGACCTGGGCAGAGGGACCATATTCAGGGACTGAGAAGCTAAGTAAGAACAAGCCATACATAAAGGGAAGACTCTCCTGGCCAAAGGTATCCAGGGAGAAAGAGAGAGGGACAGAGTGGGAGTGGGGAGAACAGAGCACGCCCCTCTCAAAGCTGGAGGACAAACAGGTTGTCCTCATCTGTGCCCTTCCAAGGATGGACTGGGTCTCTGATCTTATGTAGAATGCAGAGTCTGGTCTGAGACAGTTTTCAAAGTAAACACCCCCGACCCTCGGCACCCAGCAAGTGCAGCAATCCTGTACTCAAGGGGCGATGGCACCGGCGCGCTCAAAACACCACCAAAGCCACAGAACAAGAGCAACCAACCCACCCATCCCACAAGTCTTCACTCTTTCTATTTATTTTACTTTAATCAGCGCTTCTCCCATTCCTCCTCCCATACCCCATGCGTGTAAAAGACTTCAGGTCATTCTAAACAGCCAACCTGCCCCTTAAAGGACAGAAAAGGACAGTAAGTCTTACAATTGTCAGTGTTTTCAATAAGGTGCAAGTCACCCAAATGAGGGCTCTAAACACGTTCTGAGAAGGAAGCCCTTTTCCATGTGTCTGAAATCTTCCACACGTGTCCCCTCTGGCAGGGACCACACTCCCTGAGGGCTACAAGGCCGAGGATTATTTAAACCCAAACATGCTGTGCCCACCTTCAACTCGCTGCTGCCAAGACCCAGCAGGCCAGAGGACAGCGGGGCTCAGTGAGGCCACCAGGTACTGTCCGCACCTACAAGACCTGCTGCTCTGCCTGCTACTAAGCTACCCAGGGCAATTTCTAGAAGCCTTTGGAAAGCAATTAAGGATGGAGACATGAACACATCAGAGCACCCACACAGGGAGAAATGCCTACAAAGAAAACCTTGAGCAAAGCAAGGAGGCAGAAGTCGCACGGTGGGGAGGGACCGAGGGGACCAACAGCAGCAGTGCTGGTACAGAAAAGCAGGCTTTGGTTTCCGTAAAGGCCTTGGCATAGTTCCACACACTCTGACTTTGCTAAAGCTGAACCCAGCAACGTGTGTCTTAACTTCCCACTTTCCAATTTTCTCCTTGTTTTCATTTTGCCACACAGAGAATGTCATTTAGGGCTGAAATTAATAGAAAAGAAGGGAAGATCTTCTCAGGGTGAGAAGGCCAAGGGAAAGGAGAATGTTAAAGCCAGCCTGAATTAGGAGCACTCCCAGGGGAGCACTAGGCTGTCTACACAGCATCTCACAGGTAAGGACACTGAAGGACTTATTTACTGAGCAGGAGTAGTCTGTCTCACCGTCCTGGTTTATAAAGATGGGATGAAACATGGGTGCTTTTTCATTGAACCCCTCTTCATTTGTCTTCAATTTGCTCACAGCCTTCCCTGGAACAGCCTCATCCCAGAGGCCAGTTGTCTGCTTGCGGCTAAAGGTGCAGATCCCAGTGAATAGAAGCAAACCAGCCATGGCTCACCCCACACCCTGCTTCTCGGCGCTTCCCTCAAGGGAAATGAAGCTGTAATAGAAAATATACTCTATGTGCTCATCTTAAACCTAAGAGTCCTCTCTCCAGGAGCTGAACCCCAAACCCTTTTTAAAAGATTTGCAGACCCAGTGGATTGTCCAAGGGCCTCGGGGACATGAAAGAGGATCGGGCGAGGCTCCACCACACCTACCCAGAGGAACCAATCTGGACAATTAGTGTGACTTGCTGAAGTCACTACATCCCACTGGCTTTTCACTTAACGTCATTCTACTTTCTAAGCAGCTGGGGCCAAGCGTAAGGTAATAAGGAAGACCAGTGAGTCCACTTTCAACTGCACCCGAAATTACATATAGACTAAGACAGACCAGCACTGTCCACCAGAACTCCATCTGTGCTGTCCCATGTGACAGTCACGGGGCATGTGGCAAGTGAGAACTTGGAAAGAGATCAGCTAACTGAGGAACCAATTTTTTTTTTTTCACAATACCTTTATTTATTTTTATGTGGTGCTGAGGATCAATCAAACCCAGTGCCTCACACATGCAAGGCAAGTGCTCTACCACTGAGCTACAGCCCCAGCCTTTGAGGAACCCAATTTTTGTGTTATGGTTTGGATATTAGGTGTCCTCCAAAAGCTCACCACTATGCAAGAAGGATTAGAGGTATAAATGATTGGGTTATGAGAGCCTTAACCTAATGAATTGGGTACTAATTGTAGGCAGGTAGGGTGTGGCTGGAGGAGGTGGGTCCATGGGGATGTGCTTTTTGTCCTTATTAAGTGGAGCTCTCTCTTTCTGCCTCCTGGTACCAAGCTCTGTGCTCCTTTCCTCCGCCATACTGTTCCACCATGATGTCCTGCCTTACCATGGGTCCAGAGCAATGAAGTTGGTCATCTATGAATTGAGACCTCTGAAACTGTGAGCCCCCAAATAAACTTTTCTTCCTCTAAAACTTTTCTTGTCAGGTCTTTTGGTTCCAGCAGTGGTAAAGCAGGTAATGCAAATTAATTGAAATGTAAAACAGCCACAGGTGGATGATAAGTACCATACTGGATTATCTTAGTGCTTGTCAGGACTTAGGCTGCCATGAACTGGTTGGTACCTTCCCATGGCAAGACAATATGTCACAAATGACACATTTCTGATTCTGATCTGGTCTCTTAATTTTTCTTCCCCAAAATGGCTTGGCCATTTTTTTGTCTGTTGTCCTCAGGACATGTTTACCTAATAGGCCCCAGCTCACTGAAGAGACTATCAGATGTCCTAGAGACAAGACCCAGCAGGATTCCCCCAGTGGGGTGGGAAATAATGACCGTGGGGTTCTCATGCTCAGCACTCCATCACTATCCTTGAATAGAGCTCCCAGCCTTAACAGAAGCTCCCAGTCCAAACATGGCACACTGTAGTGGACTTTCCTGCCCAAAGCAATGGGGGTAGGAGCGGTGGGGTGTTGACAGTGCTGGAAAATACCAGCAAGCAATGACTGGTTGTGCTCCCCAAGTCCTAGGGATTACAGGAGCCTCTGGGTCCTTCACATGATCCTGGAGAGGAGGAGGGAAGGATACCCCAGGATAAATAAATTTGAAAGTCCTTTCAGTCCTGACAAAGGGGGACTAATAGTTCATATTAAATAGATTAAAAATGATAATTTATTGCACACTGAATCTACTACCCTGGAATCTGCTACATTCACACTTTAAACACTCCACTGGCATAATAACAACCACCATACCACTCTAGACCACTGATTGCTTCATGGTGGCCGGGGGACAGACACATTTCTGTACATTTTCTCTCTTGGATTCAGGGAGAAGTTGTCACTAGCTTTGGGGTTCCCATCTTGGTGGGCGTAAACTAAGAGAACACATAGGTGCTCGGTCCCACCACAGAAAACAAAATAGGTCATTGAAGCCATTTCTAATGAACATGGGTTCCCTTTTTTCAACTGTCGAATTTGTGTAGAGGGAGATTGTCAGGATCTGAAAAACATTTTTCATAAAAAGGCTGATAAACTACTCTGGGTTAATTTTTCTCTTAGCTAAATGCTCTGAATAATGTCACTGTAACCTGAAATTAACGTAAATCATAGGAAATTGCTCTTCTTTGGTTGTATTTGACCCATATAATGACAGCAATTTTACAATGTACCCGCTAATAGTACTGATGACTGCGCTCAGGCTTTGAGTGGCCTTTGCTTTCCCATGGTTTCAGAAGCCTAAAGGGTTAGTGTTGCCTATAGACAGTAACTGTGAACACTGGAGAGTCATTGAAAAAGAATATTTAAGACACTCTAGTGAAAAAGAATTCAGCAGAAATCCCAGTGGAGTAGCGATAAAAATCTCAATGTTTCCCAACATCACTGTTCTGAATTCTAATAAACGTTATGAAAATGAAAATATCTGTTTGATTCA